GTTCTCTCTCCTGTGAAGAACGATGGGTGATCAGAAAGACAGCTTAAGCCTAACTCCTACTTCTGTACAAGATGATGCGGCTTTAAGGTTTGCCTGCCTTGTAGGAAGAGCACAGAGTTGTGGGGCATGTTCTCAGAGCACCAGTCTCGGTATGGCTCGTGTGGGTCTGTGAGTGGATGGAAGACGTGTTTTTGCAGACACTAGGATTAAGGAAAAGAAGGGCTGGTGTCTCATCCTTAGAGGGGATGGTGTTAGCTGCAGGGTCAGAAGGAAAGAGGAAACCGATGCAAGCACCGAGGTTCTAGAAAGGTGCTCTTCTGTTGGAGAAAGTACTTCATGGTGTGCCGTGGGAGGCAGACAGCCTGGCATGTTCTAGAAAGTTCATCTTGGCAGATAGACGTCATGAAGCTAAAAAGAGAAACCAAGTAATGTTGGGTTTCTGTCTTGCTTTGTGGACTGTGTATAATATGAGCGAGACAAAAAGTGGAACAGAAAATTGCAAATGAGTCAGTAAGTTGAAGGGAGATGTTACCTAAGGAAGACTTGGAGGTTGTTTTTGGGGAGGGCACTTCTGTTTTTCCTAGAGAGCACAGAGGAATGGCTTTTGTGGATGGGCCCGACCTCCAGAGGAGGCGTGTCTCCTGCCCAGGGCAGTGCTCAGTGTTGTTTGTGCTGGGGCCTGGCACAATATGGTCTCCTGAACTTTCGTTTTTCCACCTTGAAAAACTATTGATCGGTCCTTCCCCCAAAGGGCGTGCAGGTGCTTACACTGCACAGCGATGAAGGAGGCATTTGAAAGACTTAAAAAGTTCTTAAGGCTTTGTGTTTGGTTGGTTTGGGATTCTTTTTAAATAGGATTTGCAGCTGTAGATTGGGTTGAACAAAAACGCCCACGGAGGTTGGGGTTTGAAGGTGAGACGTCTGCCCTGTGGACGGCAGCGATGGACAGAGGTGTAGGCTGGTCGTCAGAGCTCGGGTGGTGCTTGGGACTGCTATTTGTAGCTTTATGTGGCATCCTTGGACTGACAAATCCCTCTCCCCAACCCTTCTAAGAGAATCCATGCTGCGTAGAGCACGTTGTGTCCTGGCAAAGCCCCTGGGCTTCTGGTATCTGGCTTGGAGTGAGCCTTGCTCACGGTGTGGGGCTGGGGGGGTGGCTGGGCAGTCACAGACTCACCTCGGAGCAGATCCTACAGAGCTCCTGCAAGGTGTGTGACGTGTCCGGGAAGTGCTTCAGCTGCGCTACCGTCTTGTCCGGTCGGTGTCACCAGTCTGCGGCACACGCACTGAGCGCTCGACGCCTACCAAACCACCGAATTTGTTCCCTGGTGAGCAGGTCATCTGTTCCGGTAGCGCCTGGGACCGCAGCAGCACGTCTTCTGCTACGCTGGCTGCTGTTTGGAAAACTCTGCTGCCAGCTCCAGCAGGATGCTTGCTTCACCAGCCTGGACTGGGGAGAAGGGGCTGTTCCAGCCAAAGCTTTCCTCTAGCCATCAGCGTTCGGTTTTGGGAAGCTGTGTTGCTTTCTTCTCAGATAAAAGCTTGCTGCCTGCCTTTGGTCGGCGTTTCTGTACAGGAAGCAGCACCGAGAACGTGAGGAATCGGACTGTGCTTGGCGTGCAGGGTAAAGGCTGCCACAAATCTTCACCTGTGACATCAGCCGGTTCGGCCAGGCCTGGGAGGTGGCAGCACCACAGTGGGGTCCTGTCACCCGCTCTAGTGAGAGGAGAGCGTTTTCATCCACTCGGAGTAGTGTCTTAAAAATATACCAACCTTCCTTCTTCATTAATACAAGCAGAAAGAATTAGGGTAGAAAGTTATTTGGGAGTTGACAGTCCTTTCTGGGAGAGCCATCAATTACCCAGGACGGAGTAAACTTTGTATCAACTTTGTATCCACGTAATAGTTGTTTTGTTTTGTGGTTAGCTTGTTTACTTCTAAACGTTTTTCTTTAAACGGGTCCCTTGTTTTTGATGGGACTGTGTTTTTGCCTTTAAACACAGAGTGTTCTTCAGCGTGATGCTAACAGATGTGATATACGGGCTGGTACACAGTGGGTAGTCATCTGTTTAATTTAACATGTGTCTTATTAGTGGCTTTTTTTGGGAATCTTGCCAAGTCGCTGGTGTGCTGCTTAACTATTGTGTTGGGAATTTGTGGCAATGGCTCCGACTGTGTGGAGAGCTGGGTTGGTCATGGCATACCAGTGAGCCCTCACTTGTAGTCCTGAGTCAGACGGGCTGAACAGTCTGAAATTTGCTGGGTGTGTTTCCAGTCGGTGTGGAAAGGCCAAATAGCTCGTGTGTGGTGGAAAGCTTGAGCTATAGTAAACTCTGCACAAACATCCTCTTGTGTTTTGGCTTTGTGCTGGCCCCAGGATTTGACAGGTTGGGCGCTTACGGCAGAGCACAGAGGCAGGGTGGGCGCTCTGGGGTATAAGCCTCAAGCGCTGGTTAAGGGATGTGTCCAGGGGGTCGGTGTTCCATGAGCTGACCAGCTGGAGGTGGAAGTAAATTGCGTTGGAGAGACGGGGCTGAGCTGGACAGTGTGACTGTTATACCCTCCCCTTTGAAATTCGGGGTAGATCTGAAAAATATAGGTCCTGATACGGTGGGATTAAGCTTGTTCTCATAGGTGTGTACCAGGAAGGGAAAGTTCTTGTGGATCTTCCAGTCAGTGTGGGAAATGGTGTTAGGCAAAAACCCATATCTTTCAATTATTTTTCAACTGAAGATGAGCATTTATTTGCTCTCCTTGCTGGAAGGACAGGAATCTCCCCACAGGGCTAGAAAGTTGATAAACGCAGGAGGAAAGCAGACCGTAATTTTCATTTCTCAGCCTATCCAATATTTATAGTTAGAGGACTGGTGGCTTATTAGGGAATGTGCTGGAGCATTGGGAACTCTCTTTCCTTTAGCACTCGTGTTGTGACAGCTGCAGATCCTTTGTGTCGAGGTGGTGCCCACGGATCACGGGAGGAAAGCCTAGGAGAGGGCGAAGGTGGGCTTGGAGAATGAAGCTGAAGACGGCTCTTGCTTTAGGCTCCTGTCTGCTGCAAGGATTGAACTTGGTTTTAACTCTTCTTTTCCTGGGAAAGGCATAGGGAGGAATAGTATTATGGTTGCGGTTTGGTCATGATTAAAGTGGTTAATTGCTGTACATACAAGGAGGGCACCTGGTTTCTTCTTTGCTTTTTCTCCCTCTCCCTCTCTCCCTTCCCCCCTGCCCCCCGTAGTTCGGTATTGCTGCAGGGTCTGTTACAGTCCACTTCTGCCCTGGTCAGTGGGATTGTGGAGGTGGTTACTTCTTCCCACTGCCCCACCGCAGCCATGGTGCTTCTTGGCCCTGCCTGTAGCACCTCTCGTTTCTATGGCAACTTAAGCATCTTTGAAACCTCAGGAAGGGCTAAGAATTGGCCAGAGGGCTCACAGTTTACTGGGGGGATGGATTACTTGCCCAATTCTTCTGCTGAAGAGCAGGAGACTCCACAGGCTGGGGAACTGCAGGATTGCTCCTTGGTTTTAAGACCTGCTGCGGGTCTTAAACTGTCAGCAGTGACAGCCTTTTCCAGAGGTGGTTCTGTTCCTGGCTTACGTTCTTGCGTAGCAGCAGTCGCTCTAAGATACCTGTGTATCAGCATCCACAGTGCAGCTTCTGCAACCTGTGACCGGATGTCCGAAAAAAATTGGCTTGGTTGGAGTCGAAATTTGGCTTCCTAATAGGAATCTTTAAAAAAAAACCCAACCAAACAAAAAAAAACCCCACACCACAAAAAAACCAAAAACCCGTTAGTGGCACTAACATTTTCTCGAAAGGCAGAGCACCCGCGGGATGCGACGAGTGGCTTGCTGTGGCGGATGGCGCGGAGCAGTCCGCCTGTTCCCATGGACTCTCATCATCAGCGCTTGTGCTGCCGCGGGCCGAGCCGCTGTAGTTGGTACAAGCATGCTTTGTACTCTGGGCTTGCTTGTCACGCTGAAGGGGAAGGGAAAGATGCTCTTCTTGCCTCTCTCATCATTTCTCCACTTCAGTTACCAACGGTAAGCATATGGCAGCTTAAGCAGGCTGCCAGGGGGTATGTTGTGGGTTTACGTTGGGCTGACTCGTCTGATAATTGTGCCTGTACACGTTCTATCCATAGGAAGTGTGAAGTAGCTCATATCTGTTTTCACTGGCAATTAGCGGACTGGGTAGAGAACAGACACAGATGCTTGCAGCAGGGTAGCTGATGCTGTAATTCATGATGCTGTCTGCACCCGTTACTCCTGACAGCCAGCGTAACTTAACCTTAAGGCTGCTTGTGGTGCAGGAAGCAGGTGCTGTAGGTGGTGAGAAAGGTCCTCGCGTTGTGGTAGTGTGCTAACATCTCAGGCTGCTTTTGGAACCCGAGTGTAAAGTGGCTTTTCTAGTGATTCTAGTGTCGAAGCTTTAGGATTTTTTTCCTCAGAAGATCCGGGGGAACTGGGTAGAATGGTCATTTGCATCTAGAGTTTGAAACATCACCCTAGCGCATCAGTAGTATCATCCTAGTAGTATCAGTAGTAGATCGTACTGATATGTAGTAGTTACTGATGATGATACTACTGATCTATCTCTGGTTACTGTCAGGCGTTTGGCAGCAGCATGCACCTGCGATATTGCCTGTGCTCTTTTCCAGCGAATCAGACTGGAAAAGCTGAAAAGCAACTTAGCCTCGCCGCGAAGCGTTTAGCCATACGTGTTCCCTTGTGCCGTTCAGCTGAACTGAGGGTGGTGTGGGTGTGCCGGTGCGGAACGGGACGGGCGTTTCGGCTGCAGAAGGCTCCAGAGCGTCCTGCTCCAAAAAGCTGTCCGATGTAATGCGGCATCTCCGTGGTAGACACGGGCTCAAGCTGTTCTGTAGGGCTCCTTCAGCCTTTATGCATTCCAGGAGTAAGTTAATTGAATCTGAGTGTATTGCACTGCTGTGATTATGCTCTCCGCTGCATAAATCCCGTTTTCCTGAGCTGCCGCTTCTCCAGAGAGTATGAAGCGCGTTTAGAGAGATACAGCGAACGGATATGGACGTGCAAAAGCACCGGAAGCAGCCAGCTGACGCACAAAGAGGCTTGGGAGGAGGAGCAGGAAGTTGCTGAGCTGTAAGTACCAGTGAAGAAATTGGTATGTGTCTCTCTTTAGGCACTGGGACAGAAGAGTGGTCTTGGGAATGATAAGTGGTTGGAAGGTCATGAGGTGAGGTAAGTAGGTTTTCTTCTGGCTGTAAGCAGATCGAGGGATTCTGGAGTTGAAAGCAAACAAAGTCCAAACTTGATGCCATCACTAATGCAGTTGAGTAATGTAATTATTTAGTGCTGTATCTTGGTATTGCTTCAACTAAAATAGTTTGGCATATGGAACTTGGCATGTTGTAACACTCCTTGAGTGATGGGGAATTTTTTGGAGGGAAAAGAACTAAGTATCCAGGAGCCTGAAGTAAAAAGAGGCCGTAGAAGTGTTTCACATCAGCCAGGTCCACAGCTGTAATTTTTCTTTTCCCAGATTTGCATTGGAATCAGTTGTTGTACTAAATAAAAAAATACTTTGGAGTGAGATTTTGGCCATCTGCTCTCCAAGAAATGACAAAGAAAAGAAGGGAAACGGGGAGAATCGTTCAGACCACCAGTGTTCATCCAGGCTGCTGTGCCTGTGGCCTCCCCTCTGTCACACAGCACAGGCCCTGAGTCCTTGGTTGAGATCCAGCGGGAACCTTGCCATAGAAATGGATTTGCTGTAAAGGTGCAAGGCCTTGGCTCAACCAACATTATAACTTCTCTGATTACCCGATTTTTAGGGATGACATGTCATCCCTAAAACAAAAATGACAAAAAACAAATGACATGTTTTTCTCTTCTGTCAACTGATGACTTGGACTTCCTGTGACCTGTTTTTTTTTTTCCTTGGATTTGAATTGGGGAGATGGTCAGCAGTATGACCTAAGAGGTGAAATTTGCTGCTGCTTCTCATTTTTGAAGAATCCAGGTTTCTCATTCATTGGCTGAAGAATTAATAGCCTTAGCCTGAGGACAAATTCCCCATCATTTGAGGTTATCACATCCTTAAAGGCAACAAACAGATTTGCTAATAGTCCTGATTTCTGTGAGGGCTGAAGTCTTCCCATGTCTCCTCCCGAGCGTCCTTGTTTGAGAGGAGCATGCACAGGTGTCTCCTTAAACTTACAATCCTATGTCAAAACCCACTGGCCTAGTGTTGCTTAGTTTTGGTTGATGCTGGATTGGTTGACCAGTTCTGAAAACATTAGGAAATGTAAATGAAGTGTAAATGGAAGATTTCTCAGTACCAAATTTAGCTACAGTCTCTGTTAATATGGGGAATGTGAAGTGAGATTTTGGCCTTGTCCCTCTGAAACAGGACTAAAAGCTTCCCAAGCAGTTTGCTGGCCGCTTTAATCCCTGACACTAGCCTGAATAAAAATCCTGTAGGTTAGATTGCTGGAGGGATACTTTTGTTCACAGCGGTTATTAGAAGAGCAGAGATGTAGCTGAGGATTGTCAGCAACGGATTCCTGAGTCTGGAGAGCTGAAAGGGTTTTGGAAAAATGGAGGGTTCTGTTCCCCCTTGCAGTAACATGAAACAGGTTACTTTCTAACCAGGAAGCTTTATGGAATACATTCCTTAGTATTCCATCAGCTAACTGACCTGATCTTTTAGACAGAAAATCAGTCAAGTAAACTCGTAACAGTCCTTTCCCTTCTTTGAATGAAAAAGTTTGAAGATCCTGATGTGGTGAAACACAAAATAATTTTCTCTGGAAAGATAATTTTCCAGTGTAAGCCTGCCTCTGTCATCTTTAGTGTGTTAGCGGTCTGAAAGCCCAGGGTTTGGGAAGAAAGAAATGTTAAATGTTCAACAGCATTGTGTTATTGTTGGAAACAACAAAATTAAAGTAACGAGCCCCAGAGTAATGACGTGGTCTTTGTATATCTTTAACATCTAATAGGGAAGCAGTCATAACCAGCAGGAAAGGGCAGCGCTGCTCTCCCAGAATGTTTTGTGGTGTTCCTTCTGGGAAGGACAAGTACAATTTGTATTGTCATGCCAATGAACCTTTTGACCAGTGCTGGGGGGTGGGAGGGCAGGAAAAAGCCCTTGGATGTTTGCATTCGAATGTGGCATCTGCCTCCAACATTGTCCTGGCTGTTAATGTTCCCAGAATTGCGAAATGGGAGGCTACTTTGCATTTTGGCTTTTATTCCCTGAATAATAAAAACTTCTGATGTGCTTGTTCAGCTTGAAGGAGGAGTTCCCCGTCTGGTATGAGAAACTGGTACTGGAAATAGTCCACCACAACACTGTGTCTTTGGAAAAGTTGGTGGATGCAGCTTGGCTGGAGATCATGACCAAATTTTCAGTGGGAGAAGAATGTGACTTTGAGGTAAGGATTTGTTTTCCATCTCATGCCATGCTTTTGCACAGGGTTAGTTTTGGATATCTAGGGGCAGGAGAAGTGATGAAGAGTACGTTAGGCACTCTCATTATCAGAAAGATAATGAGAATTTCTTTTCCATGGAATCCCAGTGACAGCACCTGCTTTTTGAATATAAACCGGTTCCATAAGCAGAAAGACATGGATGATCCATGCTGATGGCTGGAGAAAAAAAACTGACCCATGTGTGTGGGTGTGGAAGTAGAGATATGTTTCAGCAGTATAACAAGTTCATAGTGATCTGCAGATCTATTTAAATATGTATAGATAAATAAATACTCTAATGAAAACTAATTAAAAATGATAATCTGCTGTAGTCTTTTCACCTGACGTGCTCCCAGGAGGAGGAGTAGTCTTAAACTAATGTAGCTTGAAGGCAACAGCTGACGGGTCTCTCATGATGCTCTACTGTTCAGAAAATTCCCTCCAAAACTGGGAATGATGCAGAAAACTCCAACTCGTTAAAAAATGAGGGAAAGTTTTATAGAATGTTCTCTGTTATCAATCTGTTTAGGACGTATTATCTCACCTGGGGCCGCTGAGAGAGCGTGCTTGCACCTTGC